TGACCAGCTAAGACCAGGCTGGTTGACAAGCTAAAACCAGCCAACCAGCTTAGGCTGGTTTTAGCTGTTTTTTTTCATCAGGGTACGATCTCTTTACTTAACGTTATGAATAGTTTTGTAAATAACAGCCTACTGTAAAAGCTTGACGTGCCAATAAAGCTTTGATTATGCTGACGTGTGTGTGAGTACCTGGTATTCATCACATTATGGGGACCAAATGTCCCCACAAGTATATTAATACCAGTAAATTTTGACCTTGTGGGGACATTTGTTTGGTCCCCATAAGTAAGCAAGCTTTTAAATCACACAGAATGGAATTTATTACAAATCTGAAATAGCAGGAAGTTTCCGGTAAGAGGTAGGTTTAGGTGTAGGGTTGTAGGGAGATAGAAATTACAGTTTGTACAGTATAAAAACTATTACGCCTATGGAGAGTCCCCACAAAACATGGAAACTAGTGTGTGTGTTTGTGTTCTTTTGAAAAAGTTTCCTCAGAAATGCTTCCCTGTTCCCTATTCAATGCATTTTTTTTATTACAAATTAGATTATCAGCATAACACTTTTAGTAAATGTGTAAAAGGTAGGGGATGATGCTGTCATCTTTCTAGAACAATGTGCATTTATGTTAAAATGGTAACATAAATTATCATGTTTAGTTATTCTCATGTCTTTAAAACTGGCATCATTTTGGAGAGAAATTGGCTCTTTTTAATCTCTCATTTAACCCATCCCATGTTGTGTAATGCTGAACTCTCGTATGAGATTCTAGTGGTGTTTGCATTGTTCTAAAAATTAATATTTTATATGCAACAACAGCATGCTGTCTCAGTGGCTTTGTGTGGTTTGATTTTAAATCTATTTGAGGGGCAGTTGTGGTCTAATGGATAGAGTCGGACTTGTAACTCGAGGGTTGTGGGTTCGAGTCTCAGGTTCTGCAGGAATTCGGTGGTGGGGAGTGAATAACCAGCACTCTTTCCAACCTCAAAATTAAAACTGCTGAATGATAAGATATTCAAGTTCATTTTATTTGTATAGCACACTTACAGCAGCCGCTAGGCTGACCAAAGTGCTTTACAGAAGAGAAATTTATAAAAACATACACAGAAAACAAGCCAAATAAAAATATGAACCCATTAAAAAATTACAGAATAACAGTAATCAATACACTAAGGAAAACAAATAGGTTTTTAGCAGGGACTTAAAGACAGGCAGAGAAGGGGCCATTCTAATTTCTAAAGGCAGGGTATTCCAAAGCCGTGGCCCTGCCACCGCAAATGCACGCTCCCCTCTACGCTTAAGTCTAACATGTGGAACTACCAACAAAGCCTGGTCGCAAGATCTTAGGCTTCTAGATGGAGTGTATAAATGAAGGAGTTCAGAGAGGTAGACAGGAGCTAGGTTATGTAACGATTTAAAAACAAAGAGTAGAATTTTGAAGTCTATTCTCTGATGAACCGGCAACCAGTGTAGAGATCTGAGAATTGGAGTAATGTGTTCATGTTTGCGACACTTCAGAAGAAGTCTGGCCGCAGCGTTTTGGACTAGCTGAAGGCGCGCAATTTGAGATTTAGATATACCGCAATATAAGGAATTGCAGTAATCTAGTCGAGATGTAACAAACGCATGAACAGCCATTTCTAGAGTTTTTGGAGTGAGAAAGTCTCTGATTTTAGACAGTAGATTATCAGCATAACACTTTTAGTAAATGTGTAAAAGGTAGGGGATGATGCTGTCATCTTTCTAGAACAATGTGCATTTATGTTAAAATGGTAACATAAATTATCATGTTTAGTTATTCTCATGTCTTTAAAACTGGCATCATTTTGGAGAGAAATTGGCTCTTTTTAATCTCTCATTTAACCCATCCCATGTTGTGTAATGCTGAACTCTCGTATGAGATTCTAGTGGTGTTTGCATTGTTCTAAAAATTAATATTTTATATGCAACAACAGCATGCTGTCTCAGTGGCTTTGTGTGGTTTGATTTTAAATCTATTTGAGGGGCAGTTGTGGTCTAATGGATAGAGTCGGACTTGTAACTCGAGGGTTGTGGGTTCGAGTCTCAGGTTCTGCAGGAATTCGGTGGTGGGGAGTGAATAACCAGCACTCTTTCCAACCTCAAAATTAAAACTGCTGAATGATAAGATATTCAAGTTCATTTTATTTGTATAGCACACTTACAGCAGCCGCTAGGCTGTAGCCACTTTAAGACTGGCAGGGACAGCGCCAGTTTGGAGACACTTATTGATAAGAGACACCAAACCAGGTCCAATTGAATCAATGATTAATTTTAAGAATCTCGGGTGAATAATATCATTAGAACAAAATGAGGGTTTGATCTTGTCAATCACCTCCTTCAATGCCTGGAAATTGGTAGGTTTGAAAGCATCCCAAAAGGCAGAGGCAGATGACAGGGTTGGAGAGACAGTTAAAGTGGGGCAGACGCTAAGTCTTAAGTTAGTAATTTTGTCACTGAAATATCTCAAGAAGCTTTCACAGAGAACATCAGAGGCTTCAGGCAAGGAGTTAGTAGAAGGATTTGCAACAGATTGAATAATTGAGAACAAAACCTTAGGTTTAGAGTGATTAATTTCAATTAGATTAGAAAAATATGCAGCTTTAGCAGACTTAACAGCAGTTTGGTAAGATGTAAGTGAGTCTTTAAACATTTGAAGAGAGATATGTAGCCTGTCCTTCTTCCATTTGCTTCTGTCAGACAGGTATGACTGAAACCAATTAAGAACGGTAGCTTTTAGACCCACCCAGGACTCTAGTCTGGATAATAGTGTGGAGTGGTCAACTGTATCAAAAGCGGCCGATAAATCTAAAAGAATAAGAACCACAGAGTCTCCAGAATCAGTGGAGAGATAAATATCATTTAACACTCTCAAGAGGGCAGACTCAGTGCTGTGAGCAGACTTAAAACCAGATTGAAAAACCTCATAAATACAATTACTTGTCAAAAAATGTTGAAGTTGATCCAGCACAATTTTCTCCAATACCTTAGAAATGAAAGGTAAGACAGAAATTGGCCTAAAATTTTTTAGAACAGAAGAGTCAAGTGAAGGCTTCTTGAGTAGGGGAGTGACTGTAGCCACTTTAAGACTGGCAGGGACAGCGCCAGTTTGGAGACACTTATTGATAAGAGACACCAAACCAGGTCCAATTGAATCAATGATTAATTTTAAGAATCTCGGGTGAATAATATCGTTAGAACAAAATGAGGGTTTGAGCTTGTCAATCACCTCCTTCAATGCCTGGAAATTGATAGGTTTGAAAGCATCCCAAAAGGCAGAGGCAGATGACAGGGTTGGAGAGACAGTTAAAGTGGGGCAGACGCTAAGTCTTAAGTTAGTAATTTTGTCACTGAAATATCTCAAGAAGCTTTCACAGAGAACATCATATTCTTCATTCTTTCTGACAAACAAGATAATGTGAATTACAGAATTTACAATGTTTTTTAAATGTTTAAATTGCAGTGTACAGCGTTTATTATGGGGGGTATCCACAGCTCAGTACTCACTACTTAATACTCATGAGTACTTTTAAATAAGCTACTCATTTACTCTTACTCAAGTAGTTTTTTGGATAAGTACGTTTTACTCTACTCACTACATTTTTGGAAGGTAATGGTACTTTTACTTGAGTATATTTTTTCAGTACTCTTTCCATCACTGATCATATGTTAGCCAATATTTGCAGATGTATTAAGTTATTTTTGTATGTAACACGAGGAATGCTTACAGTTATTGAAAACATTGTGATCTCAAAAGTAAACTGATGCACCAAGAAAACAACACTCGTTTTGTCTGCCTCTTTTATTGTTTCACAGGTACACAGTGCTTCACTGCCTTTGTGTTACTAGCCTCAGACCTAGGGGGTATCTGAGCTGACAGCAATCACTTATTTCTCAATAAGCAGTGGAAGTAATAATAATTACTTCAATGCAAGAGTAAAAAATTTATCCATTTAAAAGACTTATAGTGTTATGATCCTCCCCAGGTCTAGGGTTGGGAGAGCGACTAACAAGTGTAAATTAAAACAAAAAGAGGAAACATGACCAAAGTGAATCCTCCACACACTCCTGTTTATATGTAAAACAACCACTGGTTATAGCAAACATAAATTGTTTATTAATTATACAAAGAAAATTTAAAGCAATAAATGTATTTAGGAAAGGACCTAGCCAAAAACAACAAACAATATTTGCTATTTATTATTTGCTACCAGGAGGACTACTAAATTACCTATTCAGGTAAAATAAAATAAATCAACAACAAAGAATTTCCTCACTCCCTAACTAACTAAAAACAGGGATAAATTTGTATTTTTAAAAAGAAAATAACACCTGCTTTAATATATTGCATTCTTTTCACATTCTTACTATTTCATATAATCTCAGTAGCTCTCCAGTAAATGTGCAACATGCATTCATGAGAGAGCACAGCACATGCATGTAGTGTTGATGCAAGTGTAGACCTTCAACTACAAAAATGCTCCTCTATATCGAAATCTGCAGGATAAAATTTTTCTAAATTCGTTTTTGTGGCTTAATTTGTGTAAATCATCCCTTTTCCTCTGCTGTAAACCAAGGCTGGTTGTATTGTGGGAAGGTCTACTCTAGCATCAACACAACATGTATTAGTCGAGGTTCACTCATGAAAAACTGGACATCTATTGCAGAAGTGAAGATATTTTTTTTTCCAGTAAAAGACCTATTTTGTTTGATTTTTGAACACACAAATCATCCGTATCACCCTTAAACAATTAATAATAATAAATGGAGCAATTCCAACAGGGTCCTTGAACCTTTGGTGTTGTTGCCCTAATAAAAATAGGAGAAGAAATCCTAGAGAAAACAATAATATAATTGTAAAATATTGTGAAATAGTGATATAATATAATATAATATATTAGTAAAAAAAAAAAAAAAAAAAAAACATTCCAAAGGCATTAGGGTGCTCAGGCCCCAATAATAAATCCTTAGAAAATCAGGCGGCGCATTTTGTGTGCATGGTTCTTAATAATTTTAGCAGCAGCAGAAGTAGGTGAAACTAAAACAGCTCCAGTAACAACGATAACAGCAGCAGCAAAAAAATATTGCTTATGCTTGGTATAAAATGCTTGAACTCCATTGTTCTTTAAATTCTCTGCTTTGATTCTCTCTTCTTGTCTTCGTTTCTCCTCTTGTTGTTTTCTCTCCTTTTCTTCTTTCTGTCTCTGTGCTTCAAGTTTTTTTAGTTCAGATTTCTGAGCTTCTATCTCTGCTCTGATTTTCACTCTTTCAAACTCTTGACTTTGGTTCTCCTCTTGTTGTTTTCTCTGTTTTTCCTCTCTCTGCTTCTCTGCCTCAAGTCTTTGTAGTTCAGATTCATGAGCCTCTAACTATAATCTGATTTTCTCCTCTGCCTCCTTTCTCACTCTCTCAATCTCATCTTATCTTTGTTTCTCCTGTTGTTTTCTCTGCTCTTCCTCTCTGTCTCCTCTCTTCTTCCTCTTGTCTGTATCTCTGAACATCTTGAAATATCTGATTACTGTAGTATCCTCCTCCATTCTGCTCTATCATTGTGTCAATCTTCTGCAGTAGATCATTCACCTGCTTGCTGTTATTCTTATCTGTATTGTTGAAGACATGAAATCTGCCTCCACACTGATCAACTAGATGACTTACAGCTTTGTTCTCTGTAATGAGATTCTCAATAGACTCTCCTTGTAGCCAATCTCCATAAGTAAAGAGAACGATGGAGAATTTTAACACCTCCTGACCAAACATCATCTCAGTTATCTGAGGAATCTGCTGCTCATGTTCAGTGAACTTCATACTCACATTGAACACAACGAGAAACGCATGCGGTCCAGGACTGGATATATACACACTTCCTGCTATCTCTAAAGCTAACTCTTCAGGTTTCATCTGTGTGTCAAAGAATCCAGGAGTATCAACCACAAACACAGATCTGCCTGAAAGATTTGCATGTTTCTCTGAGGATTCACTGGTTACTGAATTTAAACTCTTCACAGATCTGAACTCATTCTGTCCCAGGATTGTGTTTCCAGCTGCACTTTTCCCAACACCAGTTTTACCCAGAAGAACAATCCTTCTGGATGAGAGACTGGAGACAGCTGTCTGTTCTTTATTAGGAGTTTTTGTTCTGATGACAGGAATCCCTCTGGGCAGCTTCTGTTCATCTGATGCTGCTTCTAAGAGAAAACACATGTAGGTAGTCATTTACATGCATATTAGTTCACTTACACTGTATAAATGATGATAAATAAATAAATAAAAACTGAGTTAAATCTGTGCAACTAGCTGCAAAGCATTTTAAGTTTTCTCAACTTTGAATACTAAGAGTTAATATCAAAATGACATTTTGGAACATTATTTTGTGTTACACCAGGGACGTTGTGAGAGGAGAACAAACATGTGAGGGTCCACTTAGATCTTTGTGTAGCCGAGAGGGCTGCACAGGTATTTAGTTGAATGCTGAACATGGCCTGTATCCAAGACCATTTTAATTGTCCAGACCCAACCGGCATGGGACTGTCAAATTATAATGATTCTAACCCAAACCAGAAATCACACTCTCACTTTTTCCACTCTGATTGTTTAGACTCCGCTGCACTGATTCTCACATTTTGGTTGAAAACCACAGGGAACCTTTAAAGCTTCAATGAAATGTAGCGTCTGGACCACTCAAACACACAATATATATTTTGTTTTTATATTTAACAGTTGGTGCGTGTTCCACTTTAAAATGCAGGTTATACGTGACTTAAACTCACAGCACTTGCAAAGATGGAGTTAATGCGTTTACTGCAATCCAAAAAAGCCATTCCAAGACCTTGAAAACACTACCCATAAATTATTATAATTTATGAACATAATGTCTAATTTGTTATTATGCATGTTTAAGTTGACACATTTAAAGTTATTTGAACTTTTAGGCCCGGTTTCACAGACAAGGTTTAGCTTAAGCCAGGACTAGGCCTTTGTTAAATTAGGATATTAAAGCTTTTATAAAACTCACTTAGAAAAATACATTACTGGTGTGCATCTTGATACAAAACAATGGCGCTGACACATTTAAAATTATTTTCAGTTGAGACAGTTTAAGCATGTATTTTTGTCAGGGACAAGCCTTAAGCCCAAAAATATGGGTGTTATATTATACAGCAACTTGTCTTTTGAAAAATCATATTTCCCATGTTACAAAAACAGCATTCTTCCATCTTAGAAACATTGCCAAGCTACAAAACATGTTACCTGTTTGTAATGCACTGCTAGCTGGTGGTCCTGCATCTTCAATAAACAAGCTACAGGTAGTCCAAAATGCAACGGCTAGAGTCCTTACCAGGTCAAGAAAATATGATCATATCACTCCAACTTTACAATCTCTACACTGGCTACCTATTAAGTTCCACATCAGCTACAAAATATTACTACATGTGTACCTAACTAGTCTTCTACCAAGCTACAATCCATCCCGCTCCCTAAGGTCACAAAACTCTGGACTCTTGGATAGCAAAGTCCACTTAAGGAGGTAAAGCTTTTTCGCATTTGGCTCCCAAACTCTGGAATA